TATACACATGTATATACACATGTATATACACATGTATATATACATGTATATACACATGTATATATACATGTATATACATACGTATATATACACACGTATATATACACACGTATATATACATACGTATATATACACGTATATATACATATATACACATGTATACATACATATATATACATGTATATATACATATATATACATGTATATATACATATATATACACATGTATACATACATATATATACATGTATATATACATATATATACACATGTATATATACATATATATACACATGTATATATACATGTATATATACCAACATCACCTTCATCAGAGTGGAACATAACGGTTCTGCTTTCTTTAAACAAACTGGATCAAAGCACATATTTAATGCCAGCAACACTTTTGCAGGCATTTAGAAAAAACAACATGTGAGCTGTACAGAATGCGTCAGTTGTACTGTAAGTCAAATGGAGCAGCTCTGGTCCGGCTCTGACTTTGTGAAGCAAAGGTCGAACATACGAAGGTTTCCAGGGAAAGCAAGGCACTCAGCTACATTATGGACAAAAGGAAAATTGCACAGGGAAAGAAGACTGGGGATTTGAGAATAACATTTCTTACATTTGTACTCACAGTATGAGAGTAGAAAAGAGCACTCAGTGGAGTGCAGATCTCCCTCTCCCAAACCAAGAAGAGTTGAATCTCACTCAGCTGTCCCTTCTGGCACTCTTACAGTCAAGTTGGCGGCGAAGACAGCAAGGAAAATGGGGATTTATTCATCTCGTATCGTGTCGAACTTCAGTGGATCATACATAACATACTGGCTATGGAATTAATCTGCTTGAGTTTAAAACGTTTCTATGGACGCCAGTTTATGAGCCACGACAAAGACCAAAATTCAGAGTGAGCAGTCAATGACGGTATAAAACAGTCCTTAAGCAGACAGACAGACACACATGAGCACAGACACATTTGGCTTATGTGAGACTAGCCGAGGACGGACCGTCTGTCCTCGGCTAGTCTGTCTGTAATAATAATAATAATAATAATAATAATTTATGTGCCTTAACCTGTAATCATGTTATTGATAAATAACATTAAAGTCCTCTCTATATTGTGTCAACTATTCTATACTGTAAAAAGACAAAAAAGAATTTGCCTCGATCACAAATATTTTTAACTTACTGCTGATTCTCATTTCTAAACTGCAACAGGAGAAACAAATGACATCCAAGTAAAGATTGAATAAATAATGGGAGCTGCTGTACAGTTGCATCTCTTTTGAGCTTCATGTCTCCATCCTTGTTCAGTTGCAGCTCTTCACTTGGCCTCTAAGTGCAGCCGAGAAAGCTTTCACCACAATTGTTATAGTCTGTGTCAACTTCCCACTTTGTTGCTGGTAAAAAAAAAAATAGAAAAGGAAAAAATATGACAATACAAAGACTTCCTGAAATACAGCATGACGGTGTCTTCATACACCGGTGTGTGTGTGTGTGTGTGTGCTGCATATGAAATTCACAAATGACAAAGCAGATTAATCCACATACATTTATTACAGTGATGGATCCCAACACCTGCTGCTCCTCCCAACAGGGAGTCAAACCAACCAAAACAGACTTAAACGTTCACATCTGAATTAAAAAGAAGTTAAATGATTTTTACATCTGGATTTACTAAAATATCAGTAAAGGCTTTATTCTGGCACGCAGTATGAAGCTCCATCTCCCCCCATGGTGCTCTTCTTCCTACTCGTACCTGATCCTGTCCATCAGACGGCAGTACGTTGACTTTACTCATATTTGTGCCCAGGAGCTGGGAGATGATACGAGACATTACCTGAGAATACGGTGATCTCAATTTTGTGTTCGGAGATGAATTTTGATTCATTCTTTCTCAAACTGCAATAAAAAAACTGTAATAAATTACGATCCCTTTTAGTGGCTTTACCTACTTTCTTATATTAAATGACGTTTTTTTTTTTTTTTTTTTTTTAAATGTCATCCTTCGTTGGTGTAGCTCAAATACAGCCAAACCGGTAACAGTCATATCCAAAATGTTCTCATAGTTTACGATGTCAAGTTATTAAAAAAAAAAACTATATTGTGATTATTCTTTTTTTTTAAAAACATTGTCCACGTATCTACAGCAAACGTGTCAAAAGGACAGAACTACCTGTAAAAAGCTGCGATATAGTCCACCATCCCGGCTCAGAGCGCTGAAACCAAGCAGCGCCAACCCTGCTGGGAATGTGCAACAGTGCAAAACATAAACAATTAAAAATAGCACAAAGAGAGCGATAAGAAGCCGGACCCTCCCAGCGGAAGCCTTGAAGCCTTTCTTTCCCCACCAGAGTAAATACAACCTACTGAGCAGCAGGACGGCTGTCTGAGAGAGCGGAGGAGAGCTACTCCTGATATGCTAATCGGACAGCTGCCAAACTCCAACCTAGATTATTAAGAAACAATTTCAGAAATGATGATGATGATGAAAACCACTCCCAGGTTCAATAAAGCCGTGTAAACCCTCCCAAGTGCTGCCAGACGGTTCTACGGATCAAAGCCGTTGACATTTATAATAATGACTCCTTCAAAGAGAAAGAGGGGAGTATCAAAGGTCTATGTGCGTATAGGAGAAGAGAAGGGGAATGCAAGAGAAGGGGAATGTCTAAAACATGTCTAAAGCAATTGATTCTGACAGTTTTTGGCTGATTAAGCAAATAAAACGACAGATCCAAATTAAAGAAAAAATGAAAAGAAGGACAAAGAGTCCGAGTGAGGGCAGCCAAGGACAGTAAAGAGAAACAGGAAACTCAACGAGGATAAATATTGAACCCTACTTTGTAAATGTGTTTTTTTTTGCTTTCGAGATTAGTCCCCGTTCTGTTCATCCTCTCTCTCTCTCTCTCTCTCTCTCTCATCAATCAGCATCCTGAAATGTCTTTGGTTTTGTGGCGCCGTTGGAAGCGCGTGTCGACGGGGTCGAAGCCTTGCTCGCTGGCTCCGAACTGAGCCCAGCCGGGAGTCCTGGCCATGTAGTCCAGGGCCGAGAAGCCCCGCTGTCCCCCGCTCTCCCCTTGAACCTGGACCAGCTCCTGGAAGCGCTCGTAGTCGATCCACGTCCACCACTCGCCATCCACCTTGAACTGAAAGCACACACAAAGAAGGGGGGGGGGGGCAAACAAGGCGGTGGAAGATGAGCGAGCAGTGTGTGTGTGTGTGTGTGTGAGTGAGTGTGGAGTGTGTGTGTGAGTGAGTGAGTGAGTGAGTGAGTGTGAGTGAGCGAGTGTGTGTGTGTGTGTGAGTGAGTGTGGAGTGAGCGTGAGTGAGAGACCAGCTTGAGCTTTTGACTGTGACGGAAAAGCCTCCAACATCATGCTGCCTCTCTAATCCTGCTTGTGCTCCCAAACCAGCGAACAGGGGTGGAGAGCGTGACCTCTACTTTCCCAGCATGCAACTGTGCTCTCCAGTCAATACCATACCATACTTCCCTTGTTGTCTGCAGAGATGGGAAAGACTGAGAGGAAACGGAGAGCAAGCAAAGCCGGCATTAAATACAAAACAACTTTCTCCTCTGAAGCAAATTCTCATCTTTTAAAATGGTCCTTGATGACTTTAATGCAGTTTGTTTAAATCATTTGTGACTGGGTGCAAAATGGTGCTGGGCCGTCTCTCAGGGACGACTGTTGTGCTTTTAGCTCTCAGCATTTTAAAGGTTTGTGGCCCCGGACCCCCATGTGCGCACCGCGGCTTCCTTAAAATCCTCAGACTTACGCCCCAACTGTAATTCACACGACGGGAGGGGAACGGAGTGCCAGCGTTACATCACTGACGTTCTCAGAAGAGCAGCAGCGGCTCAAAAATGACACAAAATGCAGTCATGAAGGACTCGCATTTATTTGGCAAGCGAAAGACTGTCCCTGCCGGAGATGGCGGCCCGCTGAGGGAGTCGAGGCGTTGAGCGTTTTGAGCGCGAGCCATTTTGTGGCCGTTAAGAGAGCAGCGACCCACTGCATTGCTGATGAGGCCTGAGAAAGAGGAGGGGGGGTAATGATTCTAGTAATGAGAAAGGAAGATATTTGTTCGGCCGGCATCTTGGCAAACAATTTCGGTCTCTAGGCAACAAAGCGAAGCTGTGCCGTCTGGGATGAGAACACGGCGGCCTATTGTTTTCATTCGGGGAGCCGATCACGGCTTCTCCTTCGAGCGGCGCGGGAGGCGCCCTGGTGTTCTGTATGAGCAGAGGTCAATGAGCTGTGCAGCACTCTCACACACATTCACAGGGAACTAATGGAAGGCCATCACGTCTCATCTCAGTCTGCTACACTGCGGAGCTTTGCTCCGTAAATTACATTTCCCATGCTGTCATTGGAGAAACAAAGAAATAGGGAGAAACACTTTGATTGAAATATATTTTGTTTGTGATAGACGACCCCGTCTGTGCCGCATGTTGTCGGCATAAGAGTTTTTTTTTTTTTTTGCACACATCTTTCAGATAATTTCACACTGAGACCCAAAACTTTGTTTCAAAGCCAATGTTGTCTTCTCGTCTATAAGCAGAGACACAAACATCCACCCAGGAACTAAATGCTGCCTTCCTGCCATGTTGTACAGACCAGCGCCAAGTGTGAAACAGCCTTTAATGCCATCAAGTTGTTATTACGAGTCAGCGGAGAATTTCTCCCATGTGGTGATAAATACTACAGACCTGTCAGCAAAGTGGTGACGAAGCAATTGATTCAACCAACTGAGAAAGATCTATAGATACACACTGTATCTGGTGTCACTTGTCAACAAACCACAATATCACTGTATATAACTTGATGAAAACAGCAACTGTAGGTTTGATTTCTATTTCCCGTGTAAGTACGCAGGTAACTATGGCAATTAGCGTGAAATAATGCATGCTCTTATTTTGTAGTAAGGAGAGGTGTTCCTGTTATTCCCATTCTACTGACATGGCATGAATGCAGCAAGATTGCAGGTAGTTAGCGGTAGCGCTGCTACGATTAGTCGACTAATTGATTTGTCAATTTTCAGAAATGAAAACAATCACCAGCTTTTTTGACAATCGATTTGTATTCTAATTTTTCGTGCTAAATGGCAGAAAATGCGGTTTTCAGCCCCTCAGATATGGAGCTTTGCTGCTTTTCATCGTATTTAACCGAATATCTTTGGGTTTTGGAGAGTTGAAACAAGATGTTGAAAGACATTCCTTTGGAATTTGATGGACATTTTTCACTATTTTCTGTCATTTTAGAGATCAAACGATAAAAAAAAGAATCGCTAATGAAAATATTCAGTGAGTTGCAGCTCTTGTTAGAAACTTGCTGTCATGGTCTGTCAGCTAGATTTCTGATGCATATTTAAAGACATTTTTGTCCTTTATAGGAAAAAGAAATATGAATAAATCTAACAGGATGCTTGACTGCAAAAAGGGACACCTTCACTTGGACTTTGAAACACAACAGGTCGACTGATTTGAGAGTCAACAGGGTTGAGACGGATGGAAGAGGACGGAGAATAAGGACGAGGGAAGGAGAGACGAAAGAAGGGAAGATGAAAGAGAGAAAAGGCTGCAAGAGAAAGTAGAACGAGGGGCGAGAGAGGTAGAGAAACACACACACACACACACACAGCTCTGATGTCTTTTAAGGGACGACATCAAACAGTGATATCGTCCAACTGGAACTAGAAGATCTGAGGACAGTGCAGTAAGCGCGCGCACACACACACAGCTGAGACTTTGTTGCACGAAGAGACATTCAGGACGACGAAGTCACGCAACAGAAAAACATCAGACAGAAGGAAGCTAAAAATGCCTCTAGTTCCCAAACTGCTGGATTATTGATGACCGCCTAAAAATGAAGAGTAAGTGAGTCAACGTAAGTTGTCAAAAAAAAAAAAAAAAGATAGATGCTGCTTCAGAGCAGCGAGCACCAACACTGAGATTAATAAAAATAAAAACTGATGCAAAGCGGATCACCACTTTATTCATTATGTGTGAGGGACGCTCATGCGGTATCCACAGTCTGAGTCCATGGACGACGTTGATAACTTAAAAATGTGCACAAACAGTGAGCTGCACCTAATACCGTCAGCTCTAAGAGTAAAAACAGGATAAACTAGTCTCATACGCTCTCATTTTACGAGCCAGTCCTGCTGTGTGTTTCGCTCAAACATTAGGGCTGAGTGCAGATGTGGTGCGTTGGGTCATGTACGACCCTCCCGACGCCGAGCTCTCTTACCTTGGTGTGCGCGATGAGCAAACAGTTGGAGTGCTCGTGTTCGCAGGCGATCTCGTACTGAGGCAGCATGTCGGCCAGCTGCTGGACGAAGGCGACCACTTCCTGGTGCCAGGGGACGTTGGCCATGGTCAGACTGCTGGCGGCGCTTTCCCCGCAGTACGTCACTCCCTGCACACACACATGAGCACGGGGTCAGGGACAGAAAGCAGCACAGAAGAGACCAAATGGGGCTTTGCAATTCACTCAGCCGTGGAAAAGAGCAACTCTGCAAGTAACAGGCCCGACCTGTACTGGACATTTGGGGCTGATGAGGATATATACAATACATATATAACATATAGAATATCACTTCTACGTGAGGGATAATTTAAAGGTTCACTTTTAGTATCAAAGACAATGGTAACCTTAATAGTGCATTTGAAACATCAAACCTAATAACATACCGATACATTACAAACAAACTCATGAACTAATGAAGATATAACAAGATGCAACTTCTTTGTGCTTCTATTGTTATATATATATATATATATATATATATATATATATATATATATATATATATATATATATATATATATAGTCTTGGGTGTATGACTGACTAAAAGGCTTCACAGCAGCAGCAGCTTGAGAGTTGACATATATCGTCCCATTGAGCGGGTGTGAGAAATGGTGTAGGAAGCTGTAAACCATCTGGCCTCGGCCATGAAAATCAATCAGGCTGGACGCTGAGCGCTTTCCGATCAATAGCGGCTGTGCTGTGGTTACAGGCCATGAGGAGGGAGAGCGGCACTGAGGAGGAGAACAGCAGCTCCCCATGGCAGAGACAAACTGTGGACGAGTTGTGGGCGGAGAGCAGAAAGGTGTGAGGGAGCCGTGGGGGGGGGGCAGGGGGTGTCTTTGATGCCCGCTTCGTATGAACCGAAGGACTCTGCAGGAGGCTCCACATGGCCGACATCTTCACATTAAATATTCATACATGAGGAAAACTAAGTCCATCAGCTTTAACTGTGTTTGAGCCCCAAGCATCATGATGTAAACACAGAGTCCACCGGAGTCCAGATCTCTGTCCTGCTGTCCGCCCATCAGGTGCAGCTTGATCCTGGACCACGACAGATCCAGGTCTCTGTGAAGACGTGGGCTCAACACTCACCGACCTCCCGCTGCATTCATCCATCGTATTTTTCTTCGACCGGCCATCAGCAACATTACTCACGACTGTTTGACAGACCTTTAATTGCACACCAATAATATTGTAGAGGGCGCAGCCTTTATCTTCACACACACACACACACACACACACACACACACACACACACACACAC